ACCAGCACACCTTTGTGTTTATTTCTCTCTTAAGAGTGAGAGACAGAGAGAGAGAGAGAGAAAGGGTCTCATGCTGGGATTTCTCCTCAACCCCCGGCCTTCCAAGCCAGCCGGAGTCTGAGGGACCAAGAGCATGTGCATATTTAACCCGTGCCCACCAGCACACCTTTGTGTTTATTTCTCTCTTAAGAGTGAGAGACAGAGAGAGAGAGAGAGAAAGGGTCTCATGCTGGGATTTCTCCTCAACCCCCGGCCTTCCAAGCCAGCCAGGCTCATGGTGCGCATGCCCAGTGTGCATGGATCAACCAGGGAACTAAACCTGCTCTTTTCCAGATGGATCCAGTGTCTCTGAGCAGCATGGTACTGTGTGCTATTGAGCTTATCCAAGTACACCTTTTCTTAATGATGTCTCGGGAACCTAGGACCCCGGAATTTCCTCCCTAAATAGCTCATCCCCAGGAGCCTATCCAGGCCTTCTGGGCCATCCCCCGGGAACCACTGCCAGTGTGCCTACCTCGCTTGTGGAGTGCCAGCCTGTGTGGAGGAGGATGAGCGGGACTGTGCGCTAAGTGTCCACCTATGTGCATGCTCAGGCCCCTCACAGTATGGTAGGGAGCTGGCAGAAGGCTGAACAGAGAGACTGGGAGGTTGACATACCTGGAGACCACACAGGCATGTGGTGGGACTGCTCCATGCACGTCCCAGAGTGGGCACAGTGCAACCTGTGCTCAGACACTGAATGCTGGCTGCAGGACAGGCTTCTCCCAGCCCTGGGAACCTCTGCTGTCACTGTCCCCTGGACTGGACCCACAGGATGCTCCAACCTTGTCTGGGTGCATCTGACGTGTTCCCCCTCACCTGTGCTTGATTCTACCCTAGAAGGTAAGGTTCACAATGTAGGGCAATTCCTCAGGAGTAAGAAAGGAACTCATTCCTCGAGATTGTGGGAAACTCCTTAAGAACAAGGAGTTTAAGGATGCAGAGTAACTACAAACAGAACACATGCTCCTCTCCCCACCCTGGGCCCTAGTCTTGTACTGGGCTCTTTATCATCAGCTGTCACTTTTCCTGTGTCTGCACTGCATTTGAAACTTCTTACAGAGGGACAGGAAGGTGCTGTTGGATAAAGTCAATCCTTCCTGCAAGCGGAGCTTTCGTTGGGAGCCCATACGTTTATTGTTCCTTCTTTTACTCAATTTCTAATTTAGTTCATATTGAAGTTTCTCATTCTGGGTCTGGTAGGAAATTGCTTTATGCCTTTCTAATAAACAAGTAGCTTTCATGGGTATGTTCCTTGTGTAGCCATGTCGTGGTAAACCGGTGTTTCTAAACATAGTTGGCCTTCCATTTCTGTTGCCTCTGCAGATTCTAACCACAAATCCAAAATGCTACCAAATAAATTCACTGGGTCTGTACTCAACATGTACAAACAGTTTTCTTGTCATCATTCCCTAAAGAATTCGTGTAACAACTACTGAGCAGCACTTACATTGTGTTGGTGTCACAGGTAACCGAGAGATGACGTAAGGTGTGACGGAGGGTATGTGGAGCATCTGAGGGGGCTGGTGTCTGTTGGGGTTCTGAAACCAATCTCCTTTGGATACCAAGGGATGAGTCAATGTGATAGTCACCCCACAGCAAAGGGAACTGCACATGGAAAAAGCTTCGCAATTTCCGGCTTCCATGTGATTGTCATAGAAAGCTGCAGAGCACTGCGGTGAGTGGACGAAGCTGCTGGAGGTGGGGATGACTGTCCCCTGGCTTCTGGTCCCCCAAGGCCCCTGATGATGGTCTCCACAAGCTGGGCATCTGGATCTCGTGTAACACTGAGCTTCGGCTGGCAGCTGCCGCGGGAAGGTGTTGGTTGGCGCAGGAGAGTTCGTATGTGATGTGGGCATGGCGGCCCTTAAGGCAGAAAAAGGAGCCATGTGTTTATGGCTTATTAATTTGTCGAGGGATTAATCCTTTTCCCTTTCTTGAGTGTCTTATTTCATGTGGAAAATTCAATCTGAAAAATAGCACTGTGGAATAAATCCACTTTACATGGCTAGTGTTTTCTAAAGGTATATTTGGGACTTCCTTATAAACCATTTCTAAGTGTCATCAGGCACTTTGCTAAGGCACCTCTGAAGGGAGAGGGGGTTCTGTGTGCTCAGTGTGCCTTCTGCCACCAGCGGTTTTCAGGCCCCAGTCCTAGTCCTGTAGCCCTCTCTCATCAGAGTCCTCCTCACCCCACTCTTTCGCCAGCCTTTGGAGTTTGAGCCTGTTGTCTGAGTCCTTAGCTCACAGTCTGTCTTCTCTTAGGTAAATCCTGGCCACCTCCAGGTCCCAAGGACAGCTCCCCTTGTGTTTGTTCTTCGACCCACACTTGGCGCCCATATCCCATCCTTTCCTAGCCTTGCTTCCACGCCCGGTCTCACGTGACTAATGCAGGGATGGTGGGTAGGTAGATTCCATCCTTCCTTCCTCCCCTCTCTCCTGCCTTTCTTCTACAAGTATCAATATTTATTGAGCTCTTATCACATGCTAGCTGTGTAGGATGGGGCCTTCCTCACAGGGAGGACAGGAGAGGGGAGGGTCCTCTCTGTCCTGCCTCTTCTGGTCTAGGTAGGGAAGGCCAACAACCAGGGGAGCCTGGTTCTCAGAGACAGAAGCCTGAGGCCCCCCAGGTGCATTGTACCACGGAGACCCTGTGTGACTCCTCACTCCTGCTGTGGAGGATGGGGTGTCTATAAGGGCTCTAGGAGAAGCTTCTGATCAGAATCAGCCCAGATCTGTTCACAAGTCTCTGAAGCTGCAGGCTAGGACTGGAAGAATTGCATTCCAGACCTAGGAAGCTCTGGAGAGGCAGCCTGGAGGCTGGGTGGCATGGTGCTTAGAGACAGGGCAGGGAGAAGAGCACTGGAAGAAGTGGTGCAAGCCAGCAGGTGGCAGGATGAGAGAGGGGCACCCTCATCCCAGGGGTCAACAAGGAGGGGTGTGGGGTGGGTTGAGGGCTGCAGAGGTGGAGAGTGGAGGGGCTATGCATGGAGAATTAGGAGGAGCGGTGGTTTACACATGGCATTTCCAAGGAGCAGTGAGCATGGAGCAGGAGTTGGCGCAGTCCAGTTCAGCAGTGAATGAGAGGCGGGGCCAGTGAGTGTCAGAAGACTTTTAAGAAGTTTCTGGAATGAAAGAGAAAGAGGAGAAGTGAGTGAGTTAGTAAAGGGGTCTCATGGGGCAGTCCCTTTCTCTGCAAGAAGTTTCCCAAGCTGCCCACATAAATTCTTCCCTCTCGCTGGTCCTTTTCTCTCGCTCTGTTCTATTAAGTGCCTTGTATATCACACCCATCTGGTCACCCTTCTTGGGGTTGGAGGAGACTGATCCAGGACTGGGAACAGGAGGAAGTGGGAGTCTTCTCTTTGGTTTTGTGCTGGGATACGATTTGTGTTAGTGAGGTGTAATGCCTCTGTACCTTCAGATCATGTGGAGTGCTGTCTTAGAAGTTTAAAACGAGTAGTAGGTTGGTATTTAGTTGTTTAGTCTAACCAAAGTGCTCAGTTTTGAATTAGTCTGGCTATTTTATCAATGGGCATGAAAAAGCCTTTTGCTGGGCCAGCTGGTGATATGGTAGTTGAAGTGGTTGGACTCCACATGGCGACTGGTTGACTCGAGTCCCAGGTCTGGCAGCTTGAGAAAACATGTTGGGTGTGTGTACTTTAAATTCCAGAAAGAGATGTGGAGAAGGGATTGCACCGTGATCCCGCCCCGCCCCATGGGTGTGCGTTCTCACTTTCCTTCTCTCTCTCTATCCTGTATCTCTGCCTCTCCCCTCTGTGAGCATACTTGCCCTCTAGCCGATTAAACGATTCAAGCTTCACGCTCCTGTTTACAAGCTTTCAGAGTCCAGGGAGAGCGCCAGGGAGTGGTGCAGTGGCAAAACACGGGTTTCTTAGAGGCAATCCCGCATGAGAAGGCGCCTTATCTCACACCTGGAGACCTCCCTGAGAACACCAGGCACATGTCTGCCTGTGACCCGGGGCCAGCTGACGCTGGGGGCGGATCATGGCATCAGACCCTGTCTTTCTCTCTCTGTCAGTTTTACTCTTGGAAGAAATAAACAAACTTTAAAAATGAAAGCTTAGGGGCCAGCAGATGGCATAATGGTTATGTCACTGGATTCCTACATGAATGACTGCAATTTGAGTCCTGGATCCAGTGGCTTCAAACTCACGCTAGGCACGTGTGTATGTATGTGCCCAAAATCCTGAGAGGAGAATGGAGGAAAAGGGATTGTGGTTTGGCCATACTCCCTGGGGGATGAGTTCTCTCTCTCTCTCTTTCTCTCTGGTGAGTACACATTCCCTATAGCAAAAACAAACACACACACACACACACACACACAAAAAAAAAAAAAAAAAAAAAAAAAAAAAAAAAAAAAAAAAAAAAAAAGAAAAAAGAAAAATAATGAAAGCCTAAGGAAACTATTTAGATGTGGAAAATAGATTCCTGTGGGACATAACAGCAGGACGATCAGAGCTCAGCTTCTCCGAAGTTATTTTAAAGGGCTCTGTATGGGTATGTGACTGTGGTTGGTGTGAGAAAGAGTGAGATTTGGAAAGCGAACGAGCCTGATCTTAGCAGGGGCCTGCTCAATTTTGCAGGCACCGTGAAAGGCTTGAAAACTTCCCACATGCAGTCAGTCATGTGGGAATCCAGCAACATAGCCGTTATGCCACGGCTTCCCGCATGCACTGAGGAAGGGCCGCCCCAGAGGTGGTCAGACTCATTTACGTTCCTCGCACCTGGCAAAGTGCCAGGTGCACAGGGCTTACCGAAGTTCTTTGTGTTCCTCACCCCTGTGACTGATCTGAAAGTGCTCTGTCTTGAAGGACTGGGACTTTTACTCAGTTTTATGGGCATTTTGGGGGCATTTTGGACACCTCTGGAGATCCTGGCAGGGTGGGTGCGTTTGGGGGGCTCTTCATTCATGCTTCGCTCATGTTACCTTCTTTCTCCAGGTAGACGTGCCCCTTAAAGATGGTAACATCCTTCTGAGAAGCAGGATCATTTTGTACCAGTAAAAGCCTTCTCCAAGGTATCGGGGCTGGGTCACTCCCGGGTCCTGCCAGCTTTTTCTTTAAACTGCTAAAGTCTTCCACCCTCAGCTGTTTGGGGTATCTCCCATTGTCTACAAAAATGTTTTATGTTTGTTGGCACATTTATTTTTTTAAATTTTTTCATTTTTCAGCTATAAGGTATCATCTGCTCACTGGAGAGAGACAGAAAGAGGGGGTGGGAAAGTGAGAAATCACTCCTCAGTGGATGGCCATGGCACAATCCCGTCACCTCCATTCTCCTCTCAGGACTTTGGGTACACACACACACAGACATGCACCTGGCATGAGTTTCCAGCCACCAGGTCTGGGACTCAACCTGTGCAGTCGGCCATGTGGATCCAGTCCCTTAACCTCCACATCACCTGCTGGCCCCTCCTGGCGCAGTTTTTAAGGGGGCAGCTCTATGGTTTTATCAGATCTCTGGAGGAGTCTGTGATCCCATTAAGTGCCATGCCCGTGCACTGTTCCGGGTCACACTGGCTGTGCCACAGCTGTGACTAGGGAAGTGATGGCCCCCCAGTGCATCGTCCGAGCTCCCCAGTGGCAGCACATTCCAGGCCTTGCTGTTCAGAATCATTCACTTTCACCTCACATCCAAGCTCTTGATTTCTGCTGGAGACAGCCTGTTGATTCCCTCTTGGAGACTCAGCCCTGGGGTGCTGCAGGTGGCTCTGTGGTACCTGAGTCTGCCCTCCTATGCTGGACCTGCCCCCTCTGGGCCCACCTTGGGGAGTCAGGCCAGGCCAGTTGCCCCTTCTCCCTTTCACCCTGAACATTCTCAAGTATGCACATCTGTTGCCTTCCACTGCTGGCGGGCCCACCTTCTCATCCCCTCTCATTCGTGCCTCTCTCCGTGTCTCTAGTTTATACTCCACACAGTCACCAAGAAATGAAAACCCACCCATTGCCTACGCTGTAACTAAAAACCTTTACGTGATTCTCTGCCCCCTGCAAGTTACAGTCCGGGCTCTCAGTGAGGCCCTTTGGACGGTGGGCACACCTGTCAAGCTCCCCTCTGAGCACCTGTCTTTGGCTAATGCTCGAGTCCTCTAGTCTGAGTTTAGGCCCATCTTCCCTCTTGCCCTGGGCTGTCTCACACCGCAGTGTGGCTCTGTGGATGTGACTTTCCTGTGGCTGCTAGCTCCAAATGCCAGGCCCTTGGTCACTATCGTGCTTTGGTTCCCACAGCCAAGTACAGATGCAGGTGTGTAGTCGATACCCAGCATACAGCTACTGAAAGTAACAGTGAGTGAATAAAAATGAAAATGACTGGACAAGGGAAACATTTTACCTGGGCCTGCTCTGTAGCCTAGTGGTTAAGAGACTCCGGATCCCACATGGCCAACCATTATTTGAACCCTGACCCCGGTGGTTTGGAAAACATACCAGGTGTATGTGCATCTATATTCCAGATTCCAACAGGATGGAGAAATGGAGGAGAAAAGATTGCCGCATGACCACACCCCATTGAGGTGCTCTCTCTCTCTCTCTCCCTCTCTCTCTCTCTGTCTCTCTGTCTCTCCTGGGCAAGTGCAGGTGCCCTCTTATAATTTGGATTTTTTTTTTACCAAATCTCGTGTCTGTCATCAGAGCACAGACTATTTGTAGTAGCTGGCATTTTTTTGAGAGTGACCATGTATGACCATGAATGTCTCAATGCTTGAGACAGTGACACTGTCTCTGTCATTTTTCATGTGGCAATTTATTTCACTGTGATAGCACCCATCAGTGATAGACATTATCATCAAGGCCTTCATTTGGTCAAGTGGGGAAACAGAAGCCTTGGGACCAAGCTTTCTCCACTGTGCCATCTACATGGGTGGACCAGTTGGCTTGGACAGGCCTGTAGTACTAGCCCTGTGAAGCCCGCTGGGGCTGGCTCTGCCTGAGGGTCTGCGCTATTGAAGGACATGAAGGCTTCTGTGTTATGTTATTCAAAGTGCATTTGATTCTGTCCTGGCTGCTTCTTTCACCTCCTCTTCTCTCTTCTTCTTCTTTTTTTTTTTTTTTTTTTTTTGAGGGTTTTTTCACTATAGGGCGTGTGCGCTCGCCAGACAGACAGAGAGAGACAGAGAGGCAGAAAGCGAGAAATCACCCCCCAAGGGGGATGG